CCTGGGATAGGCTCCAGGCCCCTCCTGACCAGCGTAAGAGGTTAGCATTTGAATAAGTAAACAAATGGAAAAAAAGTTACAGGTTTTGTTTTTTTTTCCCATGTTTGAAATAACTACCCAACATTAATCATTATGATCCAGAGCTTGAACACAATTGCAATAAAGCTTTATGGAGAAATTAAACCACACAATTCAACCATCTGCCTAGATACTATAAAACCGCAAAGGGTGGTTACAGCCAGGGCAGAGCCCACCCGTATCTCACTCTGCTCGCTCACCGGCAGCTGACAGGTGTAAACCGGGTCTTAGTGTAAAACCAGGCTTTATGTCCTGTCTTCATGGATCATGTTGGGACTGACGGAGTGCATCGATTACCCTATCCCGGCTCTCAAGCTGGATTTATGGGACGATTACAGCGTGATTGCTGCCGCATGCGATTACTGAGAGGCCTTTTAATTTACTTAGCAGATTGTTCTTCAACTTTTCTGAGTGATACAACAGCGATTCATTCAGCAGGTCTGTTACCTATACAAATGTACAGAATTACTGAAGATTTGTAAATGGAATGACTACCAAGACCACTGAATGCTTATATGATAACAGTTTGAATATGCACAGTAATAAAACTGGCATGTGGGATGAGTGGGTAAGTAATGTTGCCTCCCATCTCCAGGGACGAAGGTTTGGTTCACATCATAGATGTTACTCATGGGGGGGACATCCCACCCAATACTCAAAACAGTGGGGTTTGTCCCATCCAGTATTTTCCAGGTATTTGCTTTAAAAAATATGAATAAACTTGTCAGGATTTGGTTCTCATCTAAGCTACTGACTGGAAGTAAAAGACGCTTAGCTGTCGATTTCGGTTGCATACGCATAAACGGAAGCATGCAGTCAGTACTGAAACGGACGGGCAGCCTATACAAAGTAACACGTATGAGGTCATACAGGATAATGTGAGAGGACAGATTTGACTCAGTCACTTAATGGATCTGTCCCTCTCCCCCCAATATCGAAAACACAGTGACACCCTTTGTTCCAACCCCGGCTCCTGTGTGCGTGGGGGGCTTGAATGTTCCCTTTGTGCTTCTCCAGGTTCCCATTAAATACTTTGGTTTCCTCCTGCAATCCAAGGTTTCCCGCAGTATGTGATTGTGTTTGAACCTCTGAAAGGCTGACATCACGTCCAGGGCGTCCATTCGCCTCCACTGGTAAAGGCTCCAGTTCACCGAAGGTGGATATGTCTATAAATTTTGATTCTCGCTGGAGCTCATACCCTGACTGTTGGGTTATAACCATAAAGTCAAGACCACATTTTTTTTAGAAACTACAGAGACCTCATAGGAATGAGAACAGCTATAGATAACAGCAGCTGAAGGCCCAGATTATACGAATCTGAAGGCATGGTGTAGAATCTTCATTGCTCAGAGGAGGAAGGCACCAGTAAAAGCTTTGGATGCTTCGATATTCCAGGTGTTTCACCAGATGGCTGAGCGCCAGCAGAAGCACAAAGCTGGGTTAGAATTAAATACTGATTACAGCAGATTCAGCTCATTTAAAACCACCAACAATAGCATACAATGGCACCTAATCCACATAATAAACAATTAACAAAACTCAGTTCCTTCAGCAATAACCCGCAAAGTTAATTACATTGCTGAGGCAGAACAAGATGACATGGTTGATATGAGTTTTTTTTTTTTATATAAAATTTGCATATAAATTTTGTGTATTAATATGCTGAATATGTATTATACTGCAGAAGATTGATCATACTGCTTGCAGGTCTAGCACGTTGTCATTGGTGGGAAAATGCTGAAATCCCATAGGCGGGGAAAACGCCATCTTCCCATTGGCAGGAAAGTGCTGGATCCCCATTGGCGGGAAAGTGGCAGGTTCCTATTGGTGAGAAAGTGCTGGATTCCCATTGGTGGGAAAGTACAAACAAGACTTAAGTTGTTGGGATGAACTTTTCTCAGACTGTCTGGGCTTTTTATGTGTTCTGATAGGCAATTTTTGTAGAGCAGACACGGATTTTCTCCATGAAGGACAACAAAATTCAGCACCCACAATTTGCAGAGAGTTCCGGGGATTATTTTGTTCCTCTGCAGAAGCGTGTAATCCAGCGCTCTGCTGGGAGAGAGCTTAACATTTCCATTTATACAATACTGTTGTGCAGAAGAAGGAGCCAGATCTCATGGGAAGACCCACATCTGTCAAAAGACATTTCATTCCTTCATCGACTTATAGGATGCATTTGGAATGTAATGATACTGATTTGGGCCCTGACCTGCGTAAAGCAAGCCGACGGGATTATCTGGGCGTCTGCTAAAAGCTGCGAAATTAAGCACAGGACTGTGACTGCAGCTACATCGCGACAATCTGCATTACGGCTCGGGACGTGTCACGGGGAGGGGAGTGATTCCGGCGTATGCTGGGCGGGGGGGGGGCGCATGGGGCCATAGGAGCAAGTTAAAGGCAGGCTGTGGGGAGGGGGGCAGCTCAGGCGGTACTGGGGATGGCACATTGCATACTTGTGGTGGGAGGAGTTAAAACAGAATCACCACACCCCCCTTTCCAAAGAATACAAAACACCTGTGTTCATGCATATCATTATTCTTGTGATATTTGTTTTTATTAAACACCTTCTCCTACTTGTATGTTATTATATATATTGTGTGTATATTGCTTCTATATTGTATATATTATATGGATGTTGTATGTACTTTATTGTTTTCACGATTCTGTTATTGCTATTTATTGGTCTTCATCGTTATATGTTGTTTAATATTTAATTCTGCACAATAAAGAATTTCATTGGACCCCTACAATTGACAGAAAAGCTTTTGATGCCTTGAATTAATTAGTTGTCGGCTTATTTGTGCAGTAAAACGGTTCTTTGGGAGTATAGGGCCGTTTCTGTCCTGTTATAAATGTACATGTAGGCCTCTGTCATTAGCTGGTGCTGCTTTGCCCATTTGTACAGCTGGATGTTTTACGGGAGCAGATCAGCGCCTTGGCGGCCGGCAGGCTGAGTGGGCAGCACCGCAGCCTCACACCTTAAAGGCTTCTATGCTCGCTTCCTGCTTTTACTTTGCTGCATCTCCCTGTGTCTGCGTGGGCTTCCTCCCACAGCCCAAAAAGCACGACGCTAAGTGAATCAGGGCCTATGAGTTGCCTGTAGTGTGTTTGCCCTGTGATTCCTGGATAAATGGTTCTGGAGGACGGATGGATTTTTTCGTGGCTCACTCAGGGGGTCTAGAGGCAAGGCAGACCCCCCCCCCCCCAACCACCCCCATACACTTAGCAACACTGATCAGCAGCCCCCGTGTACACGTCCAGAGGCAGCAGATAACTAGCTCCATCTTCCTGTCATCTCCCTAGGTTGTCTTTAAGCAGCTACACCAAGATGAGCTCCCACTGCTCGGACGAATATTTCCAGGCGATGAATCACGCTGAGCAGACCTTCCGCAAGATGGAGAACTACCTCCAGCACAAGCAGCTGTGTGATGTGCTGCTCATCGCCGGTGACCACAAGATCCCCGCCCACAGGTGAGCACAGCACCAGCACTGGACGCTCGCTGTCTCTGCTCAGATATCAGTGAGGGCAACATTCCCACCTTAATATATCTGAACCTGCAAATCAGACATCAGTCACACTTTACTGCTGTGTCATTGATCAAGCCACTCAAATTGCACCAAAAACTTTATCCAGTTATAATCACAGCGTGGCTGCAGTTTAACGGGGCCGCTTACATCACAGTGTTCAGCAGGGTTCTTGATCAAAGTCGATATTTATCATTCACAATTATACAGCAAGACATTTCTGACAAAATGTATAGCAAATAAAAGATTAATTCTTTTAGCTGATAACTCTATACTTGTTTATCCCTGTGTGAATCCACTGAATGTGCGGTACAGACCATAATTCATAATTGGACTGACTGTTAGCAGAAATGCTAAAGAGGCCCACGCACAGATGCTGGTGTGCTGGGCCCTGCTGTCATAACGGCCAGTGCCCTCTGACCCGGTCGCAGGCTGGTCCTGAGCGCCGTGTCCGACTACTTTGCCGCCATGTTCACTAACGACGTGCGGGAGGCCAAGCAGGAGGAGATAAAGATGGAGGGTGTGGATCCTGAAGCTCTGCGGTCTTTGGTCCACTACGCGTACACAGGTGCGTGGTCTCCAGTCCTTCTCCGTCCTGCTCAGCAGAGAATCTGGTGCAGAAAAACCACAGTGGTATTTGCAGCTATTAACCTAACCTCACCCTATTCACGAAACACTAGTTTCCTGTGTGTGGCTCAGTCAGTTTGTGCTCTATACCCATGATCAGAAGGTCATCAGTTCAAATCCTGTGGTGGGCAGAATGGCTTAATTTTTGGGCCCTTGAGCGAGGCCCTTAACACCCCCCAAGTACTCCAGAGACCATCTGACTCTGCTTTGTCCCTTGCATATCAATATGGATACAACCATCTGTTAAGTAAGTAAATGTAAACTCACTACTGAACAAAAACTGCATTCCACTATGAAAGAATTAATCAGTATGTTTATGTGTATAATGAAATACTGCATTTAATGATGTGGTTCTTTAAAAGTCCTAAACCAATATGACTGCTTGTTTGGATTTTGAGTGAATGTATGATACATCTTAAGATAAATTGAGGAAAATAGATTACTTTGTTCCCTAATAAATCTTCATTGGTTCAGCTGTAAATATTCATTGGGAAGAACAAGGCGTCATTCCAGGCAAGTGGAATTGGAAACTGCAGACTCCTGAGAGTCAGATTTGTCTTGTCAGGCTGTCTCATAGGTCTGGCACGTCTGAATACAGACTGCAGTTGATTAAAGTATAAGGCAACTGGAATACTATAAACCTTTGAAAAACATGAGTGCTGAAAACCTATAGTTGACATCTGAATATATTTACAGCATATGTGTGTATATATGTCATTCATTTCTTAAAATAAAGTATTGAATAAATATAATTATAATTTATATAAATGTATAATATGCCAACATATTCTTTGATGGGTTGATGTTACTCTGAGCCAATGTCTTCGAAGAAGGCAAACAAGAATTGTAATTTGATTCCCACCATATGACGGGGTTCAAATGTTTCCTTTGAGATTTCAACCAAAAGTCATACTGCGTTTATTTTTTAATGTCCAGTGTAATCAAACACTGTGGACAAAGGACTCGCCTTTTCTGAAAGCCGTTACGCCCAATGACATCACCAAAACACCCTCCTATTCCAGTTCATGCTGGAAACTGAGAGCAAAGCTTTGGGGCCCGTACATAGATTAATACAAGTTAATATATTATTGGTCTCTCTCTCTGCTAAGCACACTCCCCATTGTCTCATGTCTATGTGTTCAAAGAAGCATTTGTAGTATGCAGGTGTTTACATTTGTATAAAATATTCCATTTTGTGCACATTCTTGGTGTAATGCACTGTAAGGAATCCTCCAGGTTATGTCCAAATGCCAGCCAAATTACTGTGTCTAACTGTCACCTGGATCTGAATCAGCAAAGTGCTTGTTTTGTAATAGAGAAGTCACTGTATTGAGTCTACAGAGACAAGTGCTTATTTGCGCAAGCATTTAATACACTGAATATCAGAAACTATATATGAAATTAGCAGTTTGATAAACACCATTTTGGCAAAGCAGGCTCGTCTCTCTGTAAAATCTGGAGATAATGAGACGCATCTGTATCAAATTGCTCTGATATGAATTGTATATGGTTGCTAAAGAACTACATCGAGTTTGGTGAGGAAGACTTTTGAAATTGAAAATAATTCGCTGTAATTTGGGTGAACCGCAGTGCTGTGGATTGGAGAGGATGGGGGGGGGGAGGTTTGCATGTGTATTGACGGAGATGATCGATGGGCCTTAGTGGCAGAACCTGTGCAGCTCTCAGAATGATTTACATCTAATCAACCCTGGTGGGTATTTGCTCAGTGACATTAAAAATCATTCCTGTCTCTCCTCTCTCTCTCTCTCTCTCCCTCTCTTTCTCTCCCTCCCTCTCCCTTACACACACACACCCCACCCACCCTCCTTTTCTCTTTCTTGCCCTGTTTGCCATTAGGGCTGAATCTAGGAATATTTCCATCCAAAACAAACAGTCTGTTTTTTTCCAGTGAACAGGAAAATACAATCTGGAAATATTTTGGGTTTCTGTTTTTTCTCCAGATGACACAATCGATTTGGCACACAGACAAGCACAAACTCATCTATGTTTAATGAAACACATATTACGGCTGTACTCAGTGAAACTGACATCAGTTGTTGTTTCATCTTACGCTGCAGTAGAGCCCCTAATATAAAAAGATTGCCTCCAGACGATGGCACAGATGTGCCGTTGTCGTTCGTTGGTGTCACTGAGGCTACTTTTCATCTGTTTGCCTCTTTTTTTAAGGTGTTTTCTTGCTTGGGTTGGCCATACAAATGTATCATTGTTCTGGAAAAGCTATAAAGCTGTGCTGATATCTTTGACTCACTGAGATGCCTCTTCTGATCTGGGCTTCAGTGCACATCTTCTGTTAGATGTTCCGTTTAATGTGGTATCAGGTGACATGGCTGCTACGGTGCATCAGGCTGATGGTGATGGGCTCATGATGTCACGTCAACCACACAGGCGTCCTGGAGCTCAAAGAGGAGACCATTGAGAGCCTCCTGGCGGCGGCCTGCCTGCTTCAGCTCTCCCAGGTCATTGAGGTGTGCTGCAACTTTCTCATGAAGCAGCTCCATCCTTCCAACTGCCTTGGGATCCGCTCCTTCGCCGATGCACAGGGATGCACGGACCTCCTGAATGCAGCCCATAGCTATACAATGGTAAGCCCAGTTCTCAGCCCTAACAAAGAAAGGCCCATTTTTTTATAATTTTAATTAATACTAGTGTCATTAGAGTTATATTTAATGAGCCATAACCCAGCACAGCTATAATAAACTAGAGTATTCTGAAATCACTACCCATGTCGATAACACTTTACTTAAAACAGTCCTTATACTGCATTACACATTCCTTCATAATGCATGATAATGCATTCATGAAGTATTATAAATACAACTATAACTATTTATAAAAAAGCACAACACATTATAGCCATGTTTATTATGCATTATGAATGCTTTACGAAGCTGTCATCTATAATGCACTTTAGATACCTTCATAATGCAGTACAAAGCGTCTTTAATTCTTATACCGACCATTATAATGCATTATGAAGGCATTTATAGTATATTTTAGATGAGAGCTTCATAGAGCATTCATAATATAATAAACATATTTATAATGTGTTATGCCTTTTTATAAATATTATAGCCATGTTTACATACTTTATGAATGCATCCTATTGCATTATGAAGTTAAGTATAATAAATTTATATGACTGCTTTAAGTAAAGTGTTCCAAAAATGTTTGCACTTGACCTTGTGAAATTTACATTACATGGAGGGAGTTTTGCCCTTGGGTCTTACATAATGTGAATGAAAATTATTAAATTCTTTGATAACCTAACAATATGTTGCCCTCACTTTGTGATATGGAGCTAATTACGTTCTTTATTTAATCAATATTGAACAGAGATATAGGATGAAATAGGAACCACACCTCGTGAACGAAATATAAACGCGGCTGAAATTCAGAGTGCTGTCTCGAGCACAGCGAGGAACGCAGAAACAAGGGCAGCGGAACGTTTCCACCAGAACGCTTTGTTTCCAGCATGCAGCCAGAAGGTCACAGGAGTGTAGAGGACAAACGCAAGAGCAGATGAGGGATGCAGGGACGTCTGTCAAGATCCAGGGCACATATCCAAGGAATGAAGCACCCCACCCAGGGGTGGAAACAACTGAGATGGGGTGTTATCTCTCAAAGAACATCTGTGCTGACTGTTTACACAGAGCCCTCTACTGTGGAAAGGTTAATCCAATCAAGGGACAGAAATAGGCCAACTTCCTGTTCAATCCCTCCAATAATGAACATGCAAACTGCAGAACTTCCTGTCCTACTATCTTCTAGGTGCAGATTAGTGGTGCTATTTCTGAAAAGCTTGCTTTTTTATCTAAACTTATTCTGATCACTACATCCTGTTACATTCTATGAAATTCACGGAACACAGACTACGCAAACAGCTCTTTCTTGTGCATAAACTGTCAGTCTTTAATAACCTTAGTAGCCCAGACAGCAAGGCGCACCAGTCTCCATGGAAATAACACATCAGAGTTATTTTTTTTCTATTTTTAGTCAGTATGTAGTTTCCTGGAAGGAGGTCATTTGAAACAGGCTGTAAAATACGTAAGTCATGCTTTGAAGCTTGACATATTTTTACCCATCCAGATTGCCACCGATGGTGTTCAATTTGCAAAAAGGCTAATAAATATTACGAAAGGCTAACGTAATGGGACACACTTTTTCAAAACCCAGACTGAGCTAGCTGCATTTCATATGAACTGCCGGTAGCATTTAAATGAAGGCTAATTTTGCAAATCAGCCTGTGCTTACAACCCAGGGGGTTGTTGTTGGACATGTTAAAATTGAAATCCCTTCACATCGATAAAGGCAGCCCATTGCAAGTGACCCCAGATAAGACCTGAAGGGCTGCACACATGACTGATTGCAGAGAGGCAACGTAATTCAGGGGATTGCAGCAATCAATAGTACGGCTCATACATCTCATCTATGAGATACTCTGTATCAGCGTTAGTGTCAAATGGCTTGTATAGATCACTAAGCCTCACTTCATGTAATAAATGAGAGAATGAAATTGCGTAAAGGGGGCGGGCAAGCGGATCTCGCTCACTTTCCTGATTTTCTCTTCTGTACCTGGACATTACTGATGCAAGGCAGCCGCACAGAGCAGCATGGGCCTGTGCTTGGAGCTTGTGGTGCAGGCCAGCGATGAAATATGATTCTAAAACACTGACCAAATAATGACGTTAACTTGTTCAAGGAATGTAAAGTAGGTATGCTAAGTGGCCTTCTTAAATAGCTTGTAGCATATGACTGTGTGTGTGTGTGTGTGTGTGCGTGTGGATTATTTTCATATTACATTGTGGGGACCAAATGTTCCCTACAATGTAATAAAAACCTGTTATTTTGATGTTGTGGGGACCATTTTGTCAGGTCCCCACAAAGATCTGTGAATGCAATCAAAATTGCCAAAATTGCCAAAAATCTGATATTTTGTTTGGTTACTTATGGTTTAGGTTAGGGCTGGGTAGGGGTTAAGGTTGTCATGTTGGGATTATGGTGTGTGTGTGTGTGTGTGTGTGTGTGTGTGTGTGTGTGTACATCCCATCCAGGCTGTACCTCAGCCTTGTGCTTTTTTATAAATGCAATTCTTTAAACCTGTGATGTGTATTATCTTTTATTATCTTTATTATCTTCATTTTCTTAAAACAGAAAATATTGTGCATTGAGTGATTACAGCCTAGCCCCCCCCCCTCCCCACACCCCTGCAGGAGCATTTCCTTGAGGTCATCCAGAACCAGGAGTTCCTGCTGCTGCCCACCGTGGAAATCGTAAAGCTCCTGGCCAGCGACGACATCAACGTGCCCGACGAGGAGACCATTTTCCAGGCGCTGATGATGTGGGTGCGGAACGACGTCCAGCAGCGACAGCAGGACCTGGGTCTGCTCCTGTCCTACATCCGCTTGCCCCTCCTGCCGCCCCAGGTGCATTGAACAGACCGAATGGGTCATTATTAGATTCAAATAAACCATCATATACGGTATCTAAAATCACGTGACCCTCACTTTTATTCCAGACCTGTGTGATTAAGAAATAAGGTACAGAACCCTGACTTCCCATGAATAACATGTAATCTGTAAACACAGATGGCACCACTTATATTAGTTGAGCTTATTAATGGTTTAATGTATCAGTGTTGCATTCAGGCAGTGGTTGTTAATATTGCCACTTTAAGCCCCAGGAACGGCCCATCTGTAGCACCCTTGAGCAAGGTACAATTCAGCTGCTTAAACTAGTAAAATTGTATGCTGCTTTGATTAAGGTACTTTAAACGCTTCAAGAGTTCCTTCCCTATTGCTTGATTTTGAAAAGTTAACATGGCTTTGAAACATGAGGGCCTAAACTCAATCAAAGGAATTTATTTTCAAGTTTGATGTGGAAATGGAGGTACCGTCTTATGATATTTTACTTATGAGATGCTTAAATTTAAACAAATAAAACTAAAGACTACGTAAGTAGCTACATTAAAAACTGAAGAAGCAGCTATATCAGCTTTGCAAGGCGCGGATATGGATTGCAATCTCTGGCCCAATTCTGGTGGAGCAGAGTAAAAGGATTTCTGTGTAGGAAACGGGAAATATCAATCACAATTTGCCCGGGAGGGAAGATTTCTCATGGTGTACTGCAGCCAAAAGTAGCTACCTGAGGCGTACCTGAGTCTTATCGCATTCGCAAGGTGTTCGTGTCCAATTGTGGAATACGCTTGGACTCTGCAGAGCCGACAAAAAAATGAATTTTCTATCAACAGATAAAGATCTAACAGCTGGAGAAAAAAAACATCGATTTTATGGAATTCCGATTGTGGATGAATTGCGGTTTTTCGCTGCACAAAGCGTTTGGGCTGTCCTACGTTGACATCTGAGAAGTAAACAAGGATTTGAAGGGTTTGATAAGTGATGGAAAAGGTTACTTCTTCCTTACTGCTGTATGTCTAATATCCTCCACAGTGAGTTCATAGCACATCTGAAGAAAACCCTGACGAGTTTATTTTTCGTACATATAAAAATATGTCTATCCTACATTGATTGACTGAGCATGAAACTTACTTCCGAATTTTCTATATATTTCAAAAGATCTAGTTTAAGTATTCAAAGGACCTTGAATTTTTGTGCCATTTTGCTATTCCTGAAAGTAACAAGTCAGCATTTCATGCTGTCTATCTTTTTTACTGTGTCATTCCATCTGCAGAACTTCAATGGTGTAATCTGGTGTGATCTTGTTCCATTTCAGCTTCTTGCTGACCTGGAAAACAACAAGATGTTCTCAGATGACTTGGAGTGCCAGAAGCTTCTGATGGAGGCTATGAAGTACCACCTTCTTCCAGAGCGCCGACCGATGCTGCAAAGTCCGCGGACGAAGCCTCGCAAGTCCACAGTGGGGGCCCTCTACGCCGTTGGGGGCATGGACGCAACCAAAGGTCAAAGCTCACTCGTGAATTACATCCGGTTGTCGTGAAAAATCAGTGTAGCCAATCTATGCATAAATAAGCAGAGTAGCAATGCAAGAAGTTGAAAGACAAATGATGGAGTGTTCATTATTACTGATGTATAACAGGGACTAGATCCCCTAGATCAAGGGTCTCAAACTCCAGTCCTGGAGGGCCGGAGCCCTACACAGTATTTGGTTCACCCTCATTTAACACACCTGATTCAACTCCTTGTGCTAATTACCACACAGCTCTTGAGCTGAATCATTTGTAGTGGAAGGGGGAAAGAACTAAGCTACACATGGCTCCGGCCCTCCAGGACTGGAGTTCGAGACCCCTGCCCTAGATGAACAGCATTGCACTTTACTGTTCTTAATTGTCGGTATAGCAGTAAAAATCTTGAATGTGGTAAGCTCTGAAACTGCTTTTAACTGTTAAAAACATTTTATTGCTTTGACCAATAGGCCCAACTTCCTGCCTGTGTATTCTATTTAAAATTCCTAAGTGATGTACTGGCCGTCTCGCCAAAATGAGGAAACGTTTGTTTGGAAGGAAGTCACGCACCGTTTTTTGGGGTGTGCTCCAGCATCCTCTTTGTCTGGCTTTGTGGAAGTCCAGAACTGGAAGTAGGATGTTCTTGAAGTCACGTCGGAATGCGTGGTCATTCTGCGATGACAATGACATTTATTGAGGGAGAATATAGGGCAGTTTTTTTTTAAAACAAGTGTTTCACTCTGTATTTATTTGTACACACTTGACTAAGTGTAAGGAATTGATAGTGCCCCAGTTCTCACCAATCCTTGTTCTGTCGGTGTTGAGTTTGCGTGAGGCTTCTTCCTGCTCTCCAAAAGCAGGTGATTAGGCAGACCGAGGTCTTTAAAGTAATTAACCTGAAAGGCTTTTCGTACTGCCACCTCTTATGCCATAAAAGAAGCCAACTAAAAATCTCTGTGCCTCAACGTCATGTCAGATATTTCTTAGAAGAAACACTGGATATTTGCTATTGCCTCTGCAAAGTATTTCTTCCAAATATTGCCAGAATTAAACAGTAATTGGAAAATGAGATAACTGAATCTTATTATAAAAATGAGCTATTTTAGTGTATGATTTATGAAGGTCAGGAGAAGAAACATATTTATCCCATTTAAAGATGTCCTAAGGAATGACAATAAAATGTCTTGCAAAAATGTATTTTTTATTTTTTTTATATACTATTGCAATCAATAGTCAATGCAACATGTCTCATCTTTGTGTTTTATGGGGAACTTGTTTTTAATCTAGGAGGAATGCAGCAGAAGAAAATGAGCTCCTGCTGCATTTTTTTCCCTCCCCCTGGGGGGAAAAGCTGCATCACACCACAGTGCATCGCAAACGTGACACGTTAGAAAGCGCTCTTTCCTCACTATGTGAAACATACAGTACAGCCGATACTGTCCCCCGAACGCACGAGCGATTACGTCCCTTTTGTCCTCGCTCGATTAGCTATTCCTGCTGCAGCAGCCTTTGCTGTTTGTCAAAGAAGGATGCGGAAGAAAAATATAATTGAACGATTAGAGCTGCAAGCCAAGTCCCCTCTAAATGTGCTCCGGATGCGCTAATCACGCGGCGGCCGAGACGTCTTCTCCCTTTAAGTAATTCCACGCGGCGCACAGTATAAAGCTCACGTGGCAGCGCGCGCCATTAATGAAACATAAGGCATTAGCAGCGCAGTTGGGACGTGCTGAAATTATAACAAGTGGCTCCGATCCATTTACCAAGGACAAGGCTGCTACCAGTAACTTTTAAACAGTTTGTTTCTGTTCTGGAAAATATTACCAATGCCCAGTTTTAATTTGAAAGTTCTCTTAATTTGAAGTTCTCTTACACAGCTTATGTGAATGGTGCAAATGACTGCTGTAGTGTTGTGCTAACAATGCAACGGTTGCGGGTCCAAATCCCTGTCAGCACACCTGAATTGTAATGAAAGTATCAGTTTGATGTAAGTAAATTAGGCTTAATTACAAAAAAAATGATTTTTAGTCTTGTGTATATGTCTAGGTTCCACTACGATTGAGAAATATGACCTGAGGACCAACACGTGGATCCAGGTCGGCGTCATGAATGGGCGGCGGCTGCAATTCGGCGTGGCTGTGATTGACAACAAGCTGTACGTGGTGGGGGGGAGGGATGGCCTGAAGACCTCCAACATGGTGGAATGCTACAACCCCATAAGCAAAGTGTGGGCGACTATGCCTCCCATGTCCACTCACAGACATGGATTGGGTGAGTTTTTTTTTTTTTGTAAATAATGTACTAGAGTAAATATGGTAATCAGCTAGAGCAGTGTTTCCCAACCCGGTCCTCAGCGACCCCCAGCCGGTCCATGTTTCTGTTCCCTCCAAGCTCCCTGTCAGACAGTCTGTATTCTTGCTCCCTCCCATTAAGTTGGGAGGGAGCAAAAATGTGGACTGTCTATGGATCCCTGAGGACCGGACTGGTGAGCTACAGGGTGACTGAAGTATTTTGTCTGTAAAAGGCAGTGGGTGATTCTGTAGGGCAGTGTTTTCCAGCTTGGTTCTCATCACACCATCTTTTCAATTCCAGCAGAGCTGTTCATTAATCTTGATTAAGCTTGATTGATTGAATTGATTCCTGACATTAACTGAATTCAATAATCTTTTCAATGAAATATTTAAATAGGGAAAAAAAATCACCTGAAGCCAAAGTTAACTATTTATTACAATGTTTCAGATCCAGGCATCCAGGCTATTCATCATTTTTAATGTTTCAGGATATCAATGATCTTGCCACCATTGTTAGCTGAACAACAATTAAAGGACTGTATCATTTCAGTAAAATGCCTTGTACATATTGCATGTCATATTGTATTTTGTTTCAGCAATGATCAAATTAAAGGAAACATTTTTAACATACATCGTTGCATCAACAACTGATTAATATGGATTTAAATACAAAATGTGTTAAATCATCTAAAGCAGGGGTGGGCAATCTTATCCGCAAAGGGCCGGTGTGTATGTAGGTTTTTGGGATAACCTGTAGGTCAGCTGTTCAAACCCAAGTGTGAGGACTCTTCGGCCAATCAGTCCTCTAATTATGGCGTTGCAGCGAAAACCCACATACACACTGGCCCTTTGCGGATAAGATTGCTCACCCCTGATCTAAAGTAACATCTTAAGTCACATGATTTACAATGTGGGATGCATTCCATTAATATCTCAGTCGAGCCTAATTAATTAGGTGGACTGATCACCAGTGTTCACACTGAGCTGCAGGGACCGTAACTGGAAAAGGCTGCTGCTAATTATTGTTGAATGTTTATAAATGAATAAAGACAATTACAACTGATGCTGCACTTTTTTTTTTCTGCTGGAGAAATGTTAAAAATGTGAATGGACCGACTCATTCTCTGTTTACTCAAGATCTGAGAAGCCCTGTGACTGTGAAGCCAGCCCTGACTTTAGGCTCTGAGCATTATCTCGATCTTTAACAATGACTTGCGGAGTGGATGGCGATAGCAGTTTAGCTGCGGTTCAAAACGCCAGAAAAACACACACTGTGTCTGGGCCAGACCCCAGCATCAACAATGGTGCCGCGCTGCACACATTTCCTGTTTGCAGAGCATGATTGTAATAACAACAGGGAAGTGAACAACCTCTGCTGCCCTCGAACAGAGTGAGCGGGTGCACCTACTGTAGGTAAATATCGCCCTCCAAGGCGCCGAGCTCTTGGTCCTGTGAGCATCGCCCCTTTCGTGTAGGGCTGCAGTAAATCCACACAATTATCTTTCAGTGAGAAACATCCACCTACAAACTATGAAATCATATGCCACAGCACACCACCTCAGCAACTCAACAAACAACCATAAAATAGGTGAATTCCCCCCCCCATCACCGCTTACAGTGAATTTTAGGCTGCAGTGTGGGCTACGCTTGACCCAGCAATGGTAATGCTAACCCCAAATTAATGATGAGGGTAAACATATGGAAAGGTTTCTCAGTAGCGCCGTGGCACTGAGTCATTCTCAGGTTGTAGATGTGGGGGCGGTGTGGTGGTGGTTAGCACTGCTGATTCACACCTCTGAGAGCAATGGCCGCATCTCCACCATGGCTCCATGCGTGTGGAGTTTGCATGTTCTCCCCGTGGCATTTCTTCTGGGTGCTTTGGTTCCTACCCCCATCTCCTTCCCCAGAAGCTAAAAACAGACTGAGGTTAATAGAAGTTACCAGATTGCCTATAGGTGTGAATGGTGTGTGAGTGTGTCCTGTGATGGGTTGGCACCCCATCCTGGATTGTTCCCTGCCTTGTGCCTATACCTCCGGGACAGGCAACCCTGAATTGGATAAGCAGTTACACAAAATGGATAGGGAGATTTAGACACACATTATTTTAGGCATCTAGCTCATGGGAGTGCTACACAAAAATATTCTGTGCAAGACCAAGATATCTCATTGATTGGTTCACCTCCTCTGCAATTTGATTGGTTATCTCTCTGAACCAATCATTTTTCCTTCTGCCATCAGAACATTTTGTGTAAGTAAAACTCGCACAGGCTTAAATCCACAAGTGCTCAGTTGTAATCTGGCATTTTTGGCTGTAATTTCAGGCATTTTAAAGTCCTCGAGCTTCTCGAGAATCAATGTCAGGAGTCAGTGTCAAACGAGTGAGAAACGTCTCCCGATCCAGATTTACAGCTTGGCCGGGAAGGGAGAGACTCACGGGGTGAAAGCAGCCAGCGGGCGGGAGCAGCATGAATCTTTAATGGTTGTTCTTGCATGACTCGGAGGCTCTGTGTAATCAGGTTTGGGGCTTGGGGATTGGCTCTCTCGCAGTCGATTGTTTACGGCCTTCAAATATTCATGCTCAAGATGTTGCATCTGTGAAGAGTCGCCCAGCTGAATGCCAACGAGTCATCGTTGCTACACTGACACCCGAGACACCTGGATTATTATTTTAAGGGGACAGAGGAAAGTGGTCCCAGGATTGCTGGCTTGTGATATCTGCCCAAAGTTTAAGCACAGTGTGCTGAGTGGAGGGGAGGCCAGCTTCAGCGTTCGACTGTCGCTTGGGACTGATATCCATCGAAATCTGCGTTTACTTTACCCGTCTTAATCCCTGCAGCCCTAAGTTGTGAAAATCTGACCCCGACATGACTGAGCACTATCCTGTGTCCCCTGTGTCCCCTGCACAGGGATCGCCGTGCTGGAGGGCCCGATGTACGCCGTTGGGGGCCACGATGGTTGGAGCTACCTAAACACGGTGGAGAGGTGGGACCCGCAGGCAAGGCAGTGGAACTACGTGGCCAGCATGTCCACCCCCAGGAGCACCGTGGGAGTCACCGCCCTGAACGGAAAGTATGTCCCCCACCCAGCTCCTGAGCCGTTCACCTCCAATAACCAATAATGGCCATGCGGCATCCTTACAGCGTCGCTGCTTAACTCCAGCCTCTAACCAGGCAGCTTTCATTGTTCTGTCTCCTGAGTAGCTAGAGATAAGGCAGGGACACATTTGCCAGGAAACAGCCGCAGATTTAAGTCCAGGCTAGAGAGGCCGGCATTACTGTGGCTTTAATCTAGGGAATTATTGAACAGTGGGAAATGGAAGGATTGAGTCATAAGAAATGGCTAGATAAAGAAGCTGAGGAACAATCGGCAAAGTTTCGCTATAGGACCTGCTTTATTTGTATCAGTACTGCTACTTGAAGACAAAAAAGAAAAATCAATCTTATATGTGCCTTTTTCCCAGGCTAGCAGAGCGCTAGTCTGACATTAGCCTTGGATATTCTGCACACTCTGTCCTTATTGTTTGACCTGATGGGCGCTCTCTACCGCGGTGTAAATTAAGTGTCACATCAGCGCGCTGTTTTTTTTTTTTCTCTTCTCGGGATCCAGTCCAGAGAGAAAACAGGCCGAGTCCCTGATGAATTTCACTTTGAGACGACTTTGAAGGGCTCTTCCCTTTTGTTATTTTAGACCCTGCCGGGGGGAGGGCACGCTTGTTTTGACGCGGAACCGAAACTAAACCCTCCCACCTTTGCATTCAGTGGACATGATGGGTTGTAACAAACTTCCCCCCCGACTGACAGCTCATCAAGTGCCTTGACATACGGGTCGGCGAGGCCTTAAGAAAAGGTGTTTCCTCCAAACCTGCTTCCCTTCAAAGCTACAGGGAGCTTTGAACTTCAACCCTGGCTGGAAAAACAGCGTTTAAAAGACTGGAGAAAAACATCCTCTGGCCAGGACCATAAAATGGCCAGTTTTTGCATCGCTGTGGTCTTTGTTTGCCTCATTTTATGCCTTATTGACAATGTTCTGGCATTTGCCCAAGTTAGGAAAGAAAACACATAAAACCAAGACTTGCATTAAAATCACTGACTGAAACATTTATTCGGTCCAGATTGGACATAAAATATGGTTATTGCATTTCTCAGTGTCGTATCCTGTGAATTATGTGATTGGACTTTGAGTAAGAAACTAAAAAAATGTACATTTCATCCTTGAGAGCTGACACTTAATCGTGTTTTTCAAATGTTTGTTTGTTTTTGTATAGCACCCTACCTAATAAAGTTTTAACAAGAGCATTATCACGGTTAATATAATGCTGTACTAAAAATCTAAGTGGAATAAAGCCAGATGAAAATACAGGAGTGGAAATAAAAGCGTGATAATCAAGGTCAAGGGCTGCCCCTCCAAATATGTGAACTTCATGCAGATTATGTTAATTTTAAGTAGCTCATTCTGCCAGTGAATAGCATGTTAGCGTATTGCTCATGTGATATACCAGTGAATAGCACGTTAGTTTATTGCTCATGTGATATTCCTGTGGACAGTACGTTAGCATATTGACGGTGCTGCGTTGCTCAGTATGCTGTTTCAAATTTCTATCCACAGCGTTAGCATTGATGTATATATTGAGCTTGAACATCCCTTGTGGAGAATCGTAAGCCTTCTTTTGTCTCCCCTCAGACTCTTTGCGATCGGAGGTCGCGACGGAAGCTCGTGCCTGCGGTCAATGGAGTGCTTCGATCCCCACACCAACAAGTGGAGCACCTGCAGCCCAATGACCAAGAGGCGTGGTGGCGTGGGAGTGGCCACATACAACAATTTTTTGTATGCAGTCGGCGGCCATGACGCCCCTGCGTCCAACCACTGCTCGCGGCTGTCAGACTGCGTGGAGAGGTAGCTAGCGCTCCTTTTCACACTTACACTGCCAAGTGCAGATTTTTTGTTATGAATCTGTACAATATGCACTAATGAATTTTATACTTCTGTAATTAATGAATTATATATTTGCAACTTTTACTCATTTTCTTTATAATAAAAATTAATAATAAATAAAAATAATTAAAAATAAATAAAAATAAAATGATAAACAAAATGATGGAAAATATATAAAAAATATTTCTTAAAAACAAATAAATAATAGATTAAAATGATAAATAAATAAATAATAAAGAAGCATGTGCAAATTGATGGGAGACAGAATTGCATGCATGGCTTTCTGACACAGGGCCTCAGACTCCGCGGGTAGCCTCACACCTCCAGGGTTAGGGACTCGACGTCTGACTCTGTCCTGTGTGTGAAATTTACACTTTCGCCTCATTTGCGTGGGTTTCCTCTGGGGACACCAGTTTCCAGCAATCCTAAGATGCACAGTTAGGCTAACTGACATTTCAAATAGTGAGTAAGTGAGTGAATGAGAGTGTGTGTGTGTGTGTGTGTGTGCCCGGTGACAGACTGGAACCCCCTCCAGGGAGTATCCCAACCTGGTGCTGCCTGGGATAGGCCCCACATCTTTCCATCCCCTATCCTACAATCCTATTCAGCATAAGCAGCTGGCAGATGGATAGATGGGTTATAGTGCCCTCTGCTGTTAATAGTGAGAATACAACAGAGTTAGTCTTTCTGCCTATGTTCTGTAACCTATAAGGTTATGGTGAATCTGGAGCCTTATCCCTGAAGGATAGGGGATGAAGTCTGGGGACACACTGGACAGGCTGCCATTCCAGCAGGCAACACAAACACTGACACACTGTGGCCAATTTGCAGAGGCCAGTTTCTGTAACATAGAAGGATAAGCACACAAACATTAGAAGATTCCAAATGTCCCACTGATCTGAGGACTGGCTGTTGAAACCTTGCAGGTCTGAGGCTACACTGTACATCACTATGTTACCTAAGGGGAAAAAAATGCTGATTGTATATTACTAAGCTTTGCAAACCTGTCCACTATTAGTATTATGAATTTTAAAAGCTTGAGTAGGATTGTGATTTATGTTTACTTTGGAGGAAATGAATAATCTCTTACATGAAATATGCGCGGTTTTTGCAGGTATGATCCAAAGACAGACGAGTGGACCACCATGACTCCCCTTGGTGTCCCTCGTGATGCTGTAGGCATCTGTCTCCTTGGAGACCGACTATATGCTGTGGGTGGATATGACGGGCAGTCGTACCTGAACAGCGTGGAGTCTTACGATGCGCAGACCAATGAATGGAGAGAGGTAACTTCAGCCAGATTTATAACTAACCCACCCAATTACCACCACGGTCGTCATTGCCCTTGTTGTCAGGTGACTTCCATTTATGCAGCCACATGCACCATCATCTTCTTCAGCATTTATATGTTGACAAAGCCTTTCAAAGTGAAGGTATGTAGGCCAATACACGTATGAAAGCCGTGTATGAAAATTGCAGTCAACCTCAGGACTCCTACTGTATTTTTGAGATTTCATTCAATGTCGCAGGATACGTTTTGAATCAATGACTTGATCTTGATAATGGATTGAAAATAATCCAGCCATCCATTCATCTTCCATAACGATAACGTGCACAAACTCCACTGAATCACAACCCGGACAGCATGTGGCCATAGTGCAACCCACAGACTCACCACGTCTTGAGGACTGATGACAAATAATGTCAGGCAGCATGGAAATGCATGGAGTGGCGATTGATCCGTGTCATGATTAATCCGTAGAAGGTGCAGTTCACTCAAACAGTCTTCTTACCTTTTAGGAGGTTCCTTTGAACATCGGAAGGGCGGGTGCCTGTGTCGTAGTTGTCAAATTACCATAACAAAAAACACGGCACCCTTTCTGCTTGGAAGACTCTCTCATCATTATGAACGCAAGGGGCGGAGGAGAGTGGAGACGGCAGGCCGACTAAAACAACATCATCAGCACTAACGTGGTGGGGATGACATTCCACAGCAGGTCACCTTTCAATGCACTGGGATGTAGACCAAATCTGTGTTTTTCTTTTTTTCTTAGAAGAGATGCAGTTGAATGTAATAGCGTATGTGAACTGGACGCTGAAATCTAGAAGCTACTTAAAGTGTAAGATACACAAATCATTTGCTGGAAGGACGATGAGTCATTTGATGCTTCAGCTGAGCGTAACAGAGCTTATCAGGCAAAGGAAACGCAACATGCAACGCGTAGAAGAGCAGGTGTAAAAAGCACCTAGAAGCAACTGTGCGACTGAAAACATATAAAGGTGTATATACTTAACACGTTAGAAAAAAAACATGGAAAACCCATGTAAATAGAAGACCATTGACTATAATCACTTTTAATAAACAAATACTGTATAATTTCATAGGCCAGCTCACTACGAATCATATTGCTTTGTTACTCTGTATTCCCTTCACTTAGCCTAGTGTTTCTCAATCCGGTCCTCAGGGACCCACAGATAGTCCATGTTTTTGCTCCTTCCGAGCTCCAAGCTGGGAGGAAGCAAAAACATGGACTATCTGGCAGGGAACTTGGAAGGAGCAAAAACATGAACTGACTGTGGGTCCCCAAGGACCGGATTGGGAAACACCGATTAGTCTCTTGAAAAGAGAATGGAATGTTCACCTTGTCTTGCAACTTTTTTTCTTTTCAAGTATTACTTGCAAAATGAATTTTTAATTCTCACCATGTATTGGGACGAACACTGGATCACTGTGAATATTTTACGTACCTGTTACCTATTTTTGAATGCGTCTATGAAAAACAGTCCAGAGCGAGAAACACTCGCACACCATCTCAACTTAAAAACTCTGTGGGACACAAAGACATCTGATGTCATAATGATTTTAGAAACACTCTTAGGGAAATACAGCCGTGGTTTTGGCAGGAAAATAACTGGATGTTTTTCGTTCTTTGAAAAGAAGCTGTTTTCCAAGTAGCATGACAGCCTTCAACTGAATCACACCAAAGCCATTTACACAAGTGTCTGAAGTGTCCTGTCTTATGAAAAGTTTACAAAATAGTGAATATTCAATTATATCATATTGATATTTTGCATTACTGTATAGTTTTTCGCGAGTTCGCCGACAACTGCAGTCATGTATATAAACTCATTCCTACTTCATTGTATTAAAATCCATCACAAATAGATTTTTTCTCTCCCTTTTTTCTGGAATGCTGCCTGAGACTAACCTTGCTTTTATTTACATCCTCCATGTTGCTTATCCAGCTCGCTAGCAGATACTGCTTGTGACTTAAATAGGTATTATATTTGTGATCAGGACGTCACGCGTCACATGTGCCAATGTATCCACATGTTGCCATATATTAAGGCCCGTCATATTTCATTTTGGCAAATGATGCAGCTAAGCAAGGGATTCAGTTGATGGATTTTTAAACTCACGCCAGATCTGTGATGTGGCTTTTCCGTGATTACTGGCACCTTGGAAGGTTGAATATACTGAAAACAGAAATATGGTTTTAAGAAAGTTAGATTAATTACTTATATATGTAATGCTAATCTGTTTGAGGCAGAACACTGACTTTGTTTATCAGTATTTTATATAGCATGCAAAGCTAAAATAAATTCACTTTGTTGTATATTTCTAGCGTGCTTACTGTATTTAGTGATGTAACAAAATTGCACCTCCATTGAAATCATTGCTAATTTCAGCGGCCTAGTGATTTCCCGATCTTACTCATATCTATGTTGACCAGTTGCGAGACCCTCAACCATTTCGGTTTTACTGAGGCCGCTGTACATGTTGCACTTTATAAATCCTGAGCACTGTGTCAAACTTCCTAAGATACGGAGTGTAGAATTTGCTGGATGAAGACGACCATCTAACCACTGATCTCCAAAAAGCTCAGTTCTCACTAGCTGCCATACTATGCTGGTGTAACAGAAGATATTTTCAAATAGCATTTGGATGGTAGGGACGTGTTTCCACTGACATTGTGGGACATTGTGCATGCTTGTGGGGAGGGGGCTGATTTAGTGCCTACCAATACTGAAACCAAACCTACACCCTTGACTTTAAATGTTTTTTAAAAAGACAGTGGGTTTGATGCTACCTATCAGAAAATATATTATGAAATATGTTTTGATTTCTGCAATAAACCAGGGAAAACCAATAATTCGGTGAAATTATTTCCTAGCTTCTTATACTTCAGTCCTCTCACACTCTTAATGCTACTGTTGAGAGACTATAATCAAAAAGACAGATCACTTACAATCAACATCCTCACCTATAATGTGTGTACGGACTTGGGAGTAATTCTTATGTAACAAAGGTATCTGACTAAGTAAATGCGGTTTTAGCACCTTTAAGCAAACCTGGGACAGTTAAGCTGACCCATGTGAGCAGCCAGAACCAGCAAAGATCAGGCCCCCAATACCATTCTTACTGGCAACTGTGGGATTTGAAGTCACGCCTCCCCTTGAGACCTGAGCCTGAATCTACCCACCGAAAGTACACCTCCAGTAACACGTCAGAAGGTAACAACACTGGAACCTACCCACTTAATAATGCCATCCTCACATTCGTAAAATCTCATGACTTTCGCAAAACAAAACCACAAAGACTAATCTCAATAGTAAAGGCACTTTTTTTTCTCATGCGTTACCAAGGTACCCAACACCAGCAAACACAAGCTGCGCCTTTTGTAGCAGTGAAATTAGAACCCACGCATTTTTGTAGGCTGTTATAGACTTTATGGACTATAGACCATAGATTGCCTGGCCGTAGCTTGCTCAGGGTGCTGTGTTGTGGGTTCACATCTCATGGCCTGTAATCATGTCACTGTTGCACTCTTGAGCAAAACTGTTAAATCTAAATTCTCCAGGGCTGCTACTGAGGAACCACTTTGACCCCAGAAACTCTCTTTGCAGCATATACATGTACACTATATGGACACTATATGGTAAAAGTATTGGGACACCTGCCCTTGTGGGACACCTGAAACTTTTATAACATCCCATTCTAAATCCATAAGCATCAATATGGAGCCAGTTCCCCCTTTTCAGCTAGAACGACTCCCACTCTTCTGGGAAGCCTTTCCACAAGATTTTGGAGCGTGTCTGTAGGAATTTTTGCCCATTCATCCAGAGGAGCATTTGTGAGGTCAAGCACTGATGTTGATTGTGAAGGCCTGGCTCACATTCTCCATTCTTGTTCATCTCAAAGCTGTTTGATGGGGTTGAGGTCAGGGCTGTGTGGGGCCAGTCAGGTTCTTCCACACCAAACTCACAAAAGCATTTTCTATGGATCCTTGCTTTGTGCACTGGGGCTCAGTCATGTTGGAACAGATAAGGACCTTCCCCAAACTGTTCCCACAAAGCTGGAAGCATACAATTGTCCAAAATGTTTTGGTATGCTGGAGCATTAAGAGTTCCCTTAACTGGAACTAAGCGGCCTAGCCCAACCCCTGAAAAACAACCCCACACCATTATACCTCCTCCACCAAACTTTACAGTTAGCACAATGCAGTCTGGCAGGTAACGTTCTTCTGGAAACTGCCAAACCCAGGCTCATCCATCAGTCTGCCAGATAGAGAAGCATGATTTGTCACTCCACAGAACACATTATACTACTCCAGAGTCCAGTGGCGGCGTGCTTTATACAACTCCATCCGACGTTTGTCATTGTGCTTGGTGATGTGATGCTTGCATACAGCTGCTCTGCCAGAGGAAGTTTGGTACTCTGCAGTTACTGAGTCAACACAGCGTTGGTGACTTTTACATACTATGTGTCTCAGCGCTCGGTGACCACGCTCTGTTTATGCGGTCTGCCGCTTCGTGGCTGAGTTTCTGTTGTTCTTAAACTCTTTCACTTTGCAATAATACCACTTACAGTTGACCGTGGAATATCTAGCAGGGAAGAAATTTCACAAACTGACTGACTGTAAAGGTGGCCTCCTACGACACTGTCACGCTTCACCGATCTCTTCAGAATGACCCATTCTTTCACAAATGTTTGTAAACCTGATTGCTTGGCTGGGTGCTCGATTGTTTTTCACCTATGGCACTGGGTGTGAATGAAACACCTGAATTCAGTGGTTCAGAAGTGTGCCCCAATACTTTTGTCTGTATAGTCTGTCAAAAATTTCTATGCATCTGTACAAATAGAAATCTTATCTATGCTGCTCACAAAAGTTAGCAACCACAATGACAGCAAGAGCCACATGTGCAACATGCTTCTTGCAAAAACCCACTACTTTCTTGAAACCAAACCCTGCAAACTAAGGATAGTACATGGCATATTGCATGTATTATTAGCTTCCCTATGTGGTGTGCAGGTAGGTGGCATTGTAAACAGACAGTCATCAATATCTCACTAGATGCTAGTCAAACAAATGGAATCGTTTAAATTACACTGAACCGGTGTCACCCATTTCCAGGGCTCTGACTTCTATTACACCCCATAGCTGCTGAGTGCGAGTTAATGTTGTGAAAGTTCTCCATATATCTGCCTAGGTTACCTCCCAACATACAAAAGCATGTGCTTTAGGCTCATGGGAGTTTCACTTACACAAAAATGTTCAGAGGGCAGAATGAAAAATGATTGGTTCAGCGAGATAACCAATCAGATTGCAGAGGAGGTGGGTCCTAGCAACTAGAGAAGGCTGGACCAACCAATCAGGTGTCTTGGTCCCACCTACTCTAGTCACTTAGACCCAGCTCCTTTACAATCGGAATGGTAATCTCTCTGAACCTTTTTCATTTTTCCCTTATGACATTTTTATACAGGTAAAATTACCACAAGCATGGTTTAAGTCACACAGTGTCTCTAAAATGACCCATAGCATACGATTGGAACCCTACCCAATCCTGGAGCCGACACCTTATTGTGGTGGATTGTGGTCCGATCCTCGGCTGCAGAAGCTAGCTCTAGGGACATAGAATGTAACCTCTCTGGTGGGGAAGGAGCCTGAGCTGGTGCGCGAGGCTGTGAGGTTCCGACTAGATGTAGTCGGGCTCACCTCGACGCACGGCTTGGGCTCTGAAACCAGGGGGGTTGGACCCTCTTCCATTCTAGAATTGCTCACAGGGAGAGGTGCCCTTCAGGTGAGGGGATGGGTCCTGACTGTTGTTTGCGCTTATGCGCCAAACGGCAGTTCAGAATACCCACCCTTTTTTGGAGTCCTTGGAAGGGGTGTTGGAGAGCACTCCTCCTGGGGACTTCAATGATCACGTGGGCAATGACAGTGAGACCTGGAGTGGCGTGATTGGGAGGAACGGCCCCCTCCGATCTGAACCCAAGCAGTGTTTTGTTATTGGACTTCTGTGCTCATCACGGATTGTCCATAATGATCACCATGTTCAAAGATAAGGGTGTCCATATGTGCACTTAGCACCAGGACACCCTAGGCCGCAGTTCGATGATCGACTTTGTGGTCGTGTCATTGGACTTGCAGCCCATTTGTATTGGACACTCGTGTGAAGAGAGGGGCAGAGCTGTCAACTGATCACCACCTGGTGGTGGGTTGGCTTCGCTGGTGGGGGAGGAAGCCGGTCAAGGTCTGCTGGGAACATCTGGTGGAATCCCCTGTCAGGAGGAGCTTCAACTCCTACCTCCGGCAGAACTTCTCCCATGTCCTAGGGGAGGCAGGACCATGTTCCGCCCCTCCATTATGGAGGCGGCTGACCGGAGCTGTGGCCGTAAGGTGGTCAGTGCCCTTCGCGGCGGCAATCCCCAAACCCGCTTATGGACACCGGTGGTGAGGGATGCCATTAAGCTGAAGAAGGAGTCCTATCGGGCCTTTTTAGCCTGTGGGACTCCAGAGGCAGCTGACAGGTACCGGAAGGCCAAGCGGAATGCGGCTTCGGTGGTCACTGAGGCAAAAACTTAGGTATGGGAGGAATTTGGCGAGGCCATGGAGAACGACTTCCGGACAGCTTTGAGGAGATTCTGGTCCACCATCCGGTGGCTCAGGGCAGGAAAACGGTGCAGCATCAACACTGTTTATGGTGGGGATGTGGTGCTGCTGACCTCAACTCGGGACGTTTTGGGTCGGTGGAGGGAATACTTCGAAGACCTCCTCATTCCCACCGACACACCTGCCAATGAGGAATCAGAGTCTGGGGACTTGGGGGTGGACTCCCCTATCTCTGGGGCGGAGGTCGCTGCAGTGGTTAAAAAGCTCCTCAGTGGCCGGGCCCTGGGGCTGGATGAGATCCGCCCGGAGTTCCTTAAGTCTCTGGATGCTGCGGGACTGTCCTGGTTGACACGCATCTGCAGCATCGCACGGACATTGGGGGCAGTGCCTCTGGACTGGCAGACCAGGGTGGTGGTCCCCCTCTTTAACAAGGGGGACCGGAGGGTGTGCTCCAACTATAGGGGGATCACACTCCTCAGCCTCCCTGGTAAGGTCTATTTGGGGGTCCTGGAGAGGAGGGTCCGTTGGATTGTCGAACCTCCGATTCAGGGGGAGCAGTGTGGTTTTCGCCCTGGCCGTGGAAAAGTGGACCAGCTCTATACTCTCAGCAGGGTCTAGGAGGGTGCATGGGAGTTTGCCCAACCAGTCTGCATGTGCTTTGTGGACTTGGAGAAGGCATTCGACTGTGTCCCTTGGGGAGTCCTGTGGGGAGTGCTCCGTTAGTATGGGGTGCCGGGGTACCATATAAGGGCTGTTCGGTCCCTGTTTGACCGGTGTCAGAGCTTGGTCTGCATGGTTGGAAGTTAGTTGGACTCATTTCCGGTGAGGGTTGGACTCCGCCAGGGCTGCCCTTTGTCACCTATTCTGTTCATATCCTTTATGGACAGAATTTCTAGGTGCCGCCAGGGCTTTGAGGGTGTCCGTTTTGGTGACCTCAGGATTGGGTCTGCTTTTTTGCAGAGGCCCTGGGGAAGACCCAGGACACGCTGGAGAGACTATGTCTCTCGGTTGGCCTGGGAACGCCTTGGGATTGCCCTGGACCCAACCTAGAATAAGCGGTGGATGATGGATGGATGAATGAATGGATACGAATGTGTAATCTGCAATGGACTGGCATCACATGCATGTTGCGCAGTGACCTGTATCTACACTTCTGGGGAAATGTTTCTGCCTCACAGCAACCTATACTCAACAAGCAATCATCAGAAAGTGAAAAGATTTCATGAAAAGCAATAAGCCTGCTACAAGATAATTAAAAAGTTCCAGTCTGAACATAAGAACATAAGAACTATACAAACGAGAGGAGGCCATTCGGCCCATTGAGCTCGCTTGGGGAGAACTTAACTAATAGCTCAGAGTTGTTAAAATCTTATCTAGCTCTGATTTAAAGGAACC